AAGTGTCATGGGAAAGACAGTAAAATGGCTTCCTTTTGGTTTTCCACTGTTTTGTATAAAGAGTAGTCTTCCTTCTTGGTTGTCATCTAAGCTTACACAGGCTACATTGTTATTTAACACATAACTGGAAGGAGAAGTGATGGATTCGTGCCTTTCTTAAGGGTATTTGTTGCAAAGTCAAAGCCAAAAGCTAGGGTAGAGTTTGAACTGTGCTCGCCGATTTCAATTCCCGTGCTTGTAGCAACTACACGACTTGCACATTTTACTACTGCACTTTAGTTATCTATACATGGCATCAGACTGAACAGAGAAAACCGCCTTTACGTGTGGAGTCACTCCTTAGTTGACATTACTCTCCAGCCCCTTCTGACTCTATGGGATCGCGCTTGTTTGGATTCCATGTATGTGTCACATATATTTACGGACAATTGGGTCGGATCACTTCGACGGTGCTTCTTTTGCTATAAATACTGCCGATGTCCAACAATTGGAATTGGTTTCGTGCAAGATTTCTCACTTTCCTCACATGCATAGTGGAAGTCGAACGAGTAAGACCACCGCCAGCATAACTCTCAAAAGAACATTTTAGCGATGGCTTCCAAAATCCCTGTAACGTTCCAAAGAGCCAAAGAGATTCCTGTGTGTATATTCTTTCGAGTGGATAGAACGTTGCAACGTTGACCCCACTTTTCAGTACCATTAGCCATTATTGTTTAGTTATTTTATTTTACTTATTTTATTCGTCATAATGTTTTAAATGTTCTATTATGTAATTTATAAGATCTCTCAGTTTTAACTCGCTGTAATATATTTATTTTATTTTTATTCGTAAACATTTTTAAACGTTTCATTATATTTATAAGCACCCCCGGCTTAACTCGCTGTAACTTATTTATTACTCTTAATGGCCGTATTTTTTTTTCTCTGTAAATAGTAATTATTAGCTGGTGAAATGAAACTTGATAGGAAGTGGGTAAAAACGGAAAACATAATTACCTTCTAAGTATCCGATGAAGGGTGTCCACTGAAAAAAAACCTGAAAAAAGAAAAAAATTTTCCTGTAAACGGCTTAAATAGATTTTCGCACCGTTGCGATTGGCTGTTGGTCAATCTCCAATCAAATGTGTGATAACGGAGTATATTTATAGAAGTCAGTGTCTACAAGCATTTTTTAGAGGGCGTTTCAGAGTCTGATCAACTCTGAGGGGGTCGATTTGGTGAGGTCAGTATGATGTTTGAAAGAACCGAAACTGCCCAATGATCCATCTCCCGAACATCACTGACGACGCCCTCTAGCGCTAAAAGAGCGTATATTCAAAGCACTAATGGTGTAACGCAGATTGAGTCAACCAGAGACCACATGAGCTTCATGTTTTATATATGAATTTCTCTCGCTTAGGAGGATGTTCCAAACCGAACAACGAGTCCTAAATTCCGAAGGGGGTCTTAAAAAGGACTAGGGGCCTCTCATAACTTAGTGGTCAAACTGAGCGTCTTTATACTAATTCAGGTATTTCTACGTCCCCGCACAATATAAATATATACATACATGTTGGCCCATGTCACCCGTAAGAAGTTAAACCGCCCTTTGACAAGCCATCCTCCTCAAAAACCAGAATGTGCCTAAACCGGCTTCCCCACATATACACAGTAATCTATCAAAGAAAAATGTATTGAAAGAGAACTAATTTCAGAATCCTCTACGCTAAATTTACGTCAAGTATCATGCAACATATCTTCCTTCCTCACAAAATTACAAGTAATACAATATGCGGCAATTAAAACCAATAAATGCTGGATAATCTCATCAAAGGTGAAGAAAAGACTTAAGGCAATAGAACTGTGATTCTACTAAAAGATGTCAAGAATACCATGGATTAAACATGTGAGCTACGACCAAATTTTAGGGAAAATGAAAAAATAAATGGACACTTCCGCGTAGAACCAGAAATAGACAGTTAAAATTTCTAGGCTACATAATGAAGAAAGACAGCTTGGAAAATTTGATACTCACGGGACATAATGAAGACCGATGAAAGTAGAGCAGAAAGTAACCTGTCTAACGAACTCGTGAAAATGGTTGACAGAAGAGAGATTAGCAGAGATAGCAAACGACAAAGATAGCTAAGAACAACAACGGGAATAAAATTGTGAAGGGCTATGATCGCCTACCTCCTGAAGGCACACAGCATATAGAAGAAGAAGTGAGCGTTTCTGTATTATTAACGTTTCATTGTAAACTTTAACGTATCTTATATCTGTCTCAGCCCTTTGTTTTTTTATATATATATATATATATATATATATATATATATATATATATATATATATATATATATATATATATATAATGAAACTGTTCATATCGAATGAACCAGTAGTCGGAAGATCTCGGAACCATAGACGCCATTAAGATGTTTTTTTTTTCATTCTCTTATTCCCTTGCCCACTAAAACATTTATTGACAAATAGATTTATAGGTGTAAATATAAAGACAGACTGTGACAACTGAAGATATATATCGCTAAACAGAAATTAATATAGACGCAATTATAAATATATATCTTATATTGTTATATTTGCATCTATATTAATTCCTAGATAGATAGATAGATAGATATGGTATGCGACTTGAGTTTCAATGGTTTTCCAGCTCATCGGGTATAAAGTATATCTTTATGCCCGATATATATATATGTTTTTTTAAAAAGAAATACACAGATGACACATGGGAATAAGGCTGTTTCATAGACGAAAAATAAAATAAATTAAAATAGAATAAGAGATGCAGGAAATGAATTGTAGGTACTTGTGAGTGAAATGTTTTGTATTTCCTTCATGCCTGGGCTGCCAGGAATTCCTTCAATATGTCTATTAAAGTATTTTCTAATCAATCCAAGGGCACCAGTTTTTAGGTAAATAAATAAAGAGAAATTTAAAATTTAGAATTTAGATAGATAGATAGATAGATATGGTGCAGACTGAAATAGATATGAAGAGACGAGGATAGATAGATAGATAGATAGATAGATAGATAGATAGATAGATAGATAGATAGATAGATAGATAGATGTGGTGCAGACTGAAATAGATATGAAGTGACGAAGATAGATAGATAGATAGATAGATAGATAGATAGATAGATAGATAGATAGATATGGTGCAGACTGAAATAGATATGAAGAGACGAGGATAGATAGATAGATTAGATAGATATGATTTAGATGTGGTGCAGACTGAAATAGATAGATAGATAGATAGATAGATATTAGGATAGATAGTAGATGTGTCATAGACTTCAAATAGATAGATAGATAGATAGATAGATAGATAGATAGATAGATAGATAGATAGATGTGGTGCAGACTGAAATAGATAGATAGATAGATAGATAGATAGATAGATAGATAGATAGATAAGATAGATAGATAGATAGAAAGAAACCAATCTAGGAGAAAGAGAAGGAAAAGAAAAGAGTGATTCACTAGTTAATCAAACTGACACAAAAATCAAAACTTTTTAACTCTGGCGCATGCAGTGTCCGCCAAAATGTAATGAGTTATTTTATGTAAGAAAATAAGTAGTTTTTGTTGGGCCTATATTTGCCTTAGCTTTTGTTTTCAGTGTCATTACAAACGGATCGAGTTCGGAAAAATTAATGAGTGTCTCCTTCATAGTTCGAATGCTAAAAAGTATTATAACTTTTTAACATCCGAACTATATTTTATCATTATTTTATTTCCGTTTATTTCTGGTGTATACTCATGTCTTTCAGGCTCCCAACCAGAATCTTAATATCAGAAATGGCATTTTTCACTATGCATTTTTTGAGAAAATAACACACCAAAGATCATGCATATTTTACATAAAGTCCTCCTTAAGGTGTGGGCTGGACGTGTGAGCACAATTTTTTTGTATTTCCTTCATGGCTGGGCCGTCAGGAATTCCTTCAATGTGTCTATTAAAATCTTTTGCAATCAATCCGAGGGCACCAGTTACAACTGGAGTTGTTGATGTCCCCATGTACAGCATTTTTGAGAGTTCGATTTCAAGGTGATTGTATTTTGATAATTTTTTGAAGATCTTCAAAGATATATTACAGTCTGCAGGGACTTTCATGTCAATAAAAAAGCACATTTGGTTCCTGACCACGATGTCTGGGTGATTAGCTTTGATTGTGTTCAGTAGTGTGTATTGTAAACTCCCATAAAATTTTTACAGGTGCTACTCCTAGAGCGGGTCTGGGTGGTGTTCATACAAATTTCTTGCAGTTTCCTTTCCGCAAATGTTACAGATTTGCCACTGCAATCATCATCATCATCATTATTATTATTATTATTATTATTATTATTATTATTATTATTATTTGTGTATGTTATGTTTCCTGCTTTGTATCCTGTTGAGACGAGAACAAACTATGTTCCTTAGGCCCTATAGAAGAATTGCCATTTAGTTGATAGCACTTTTCTTAGTATATAGGATGTTCCTAGTAGGGCAATCTCCTGAGCAAATTGTATGTTGATGTGACCTGGGACACTGTTAGTAAAATTGTCCATTCCTTTTCTCACGAGGCCCAGAGCTCCGATTACTATTGGTACAGTCTCAGTCTTCATTCCTTACATCCTGTTAATCTCGATCTCCAGGTCCTTGTATTTGGACAATTTCTCGATAATTTTCATGGAGTTGTTTCTCTCAGATGGTACTGCTATGTCAATAAGCATACACTTCCTGAATTTCTTCTCTTTTTGATAATATCAGGTCTGTTGGCTTTTATTTTCCTGTCACTTTGAATTGGCATGTCCCAGAGGATAGTTACGTCGTTATTTTGAGTAACTGTGTTTGGTTGGTGCTCATACCATCTGTCAGTGGTTTTGATTTTGTGCTTCTTGCATATCTTCCAGTGGACATATGTCGCTACCTTGTTATGTCTGTGGGTATATTCATTTTTTGCTAGTTCTGGACATCCTGAGACAATATGGTCGACAGTTTCATCATATTTTCCGCAGATTCTGCATTTCGGTTTAGTTCCATTCTTGATTATGTCACAGTGGCTGTCAGGCTTTGGTCCTAAGGTTCAATAATTAGGTCTTCTGTCTCAGCTCTCAAACCTGATGCGTTTTCTGTTGGTCCGCATCTGCTTCTTTCTTTTTAGGTGTTTGCCATGCAATGCCTTGTACTCTCAGTTTTTTGTAATTTCATTAGGCTTATTATTATTATTATTATTATTATTATTCATTTTGTCCATTGTTATAGCTTTTACTGTAATTCCCCCATGTATTATACTCATTTTTTTCTAAAAAAAATAATAAGCAAAATTAGGGGTGCGTATTATGCACAGCTACAAAAAATCTTCAAAAAATTGCCGTTTCATAGGTCGATTTCAGTTGCGAAATAACAACTCACCACTAATATATACGACAATTTGACACTAACATTCGGTGATTGCAACCCTATAAGGATGTCAAATACAATCATATGTGCCTAACAATATTTACCAATGTAAAATAAAATAAAAATTGTCATAATAGTAGATTAGAATAATATTATTCTGTTTAAAACTATTTTTGTGAAAAACTACATACAGATCCGGTAGATTGCACATTTTATCGAACAGGTTAATGAGTCTGCGCAGTAGGCACAATAGAGGTATTTCCATTTCCTTTTAGAACCGTGATGATCGGAAATTTTGATAAATATCTTCAATTATAGCTTGAATAACAGTAGGAAACGCTGACTGGAATGAAATTGGAGAGATAGAATTTATAGGTTTTGATTACCAAACAAGGGGTGCGTATTATGTATGAGGAGAAGCATTTTCCCCACACTTTCAGCACAATTTTAGGGGTACATATTATGGATGAAGGCGTATTATACATGGGGAATTACGCTAGTTGTCCTTACGTTCGCCTTTTTTACCTTCTTGTTTTGAGTTGTTTTTGATTAAGACTTCTTTTTTCTCTCCTTAGACGTACAATTTTATTAAATCAACGAAGGGCTGCTGAAAGTTCTCATCCTGTCAAATTCTAAACAACATCCGGTTTGGTAATATTCTAGGAAGTATTTTCAAGCGGATAACTTTGTTCCTAAGCTTTCTTTCTTTCATTAATTTCGGTGCTCATTTTATTTTCCAAAATTCCCCCCCCACACCTACTTTTTATTCTTAATTCTCTATGATTATCTTCTTCTCTGCTTCCACTAAATTTATTTTAGTTGGGCACAAGACCAAGAGATAAGCCTCCCTGATTATGAAATTCATTTCATTAACAATGTTTCCTGATGCTATTTATCCATCCCTCTAAAAGTACGTGTGAGAAATGGCCTCTATTAAAGTTGAGCCAATTGTCTAGTTCTCTCTGTAATTCCTATTTCTGGAACACTTCAGATATCGTGGACTGACTCTGATAGCTCTCCTTTAAGTGCAAGGGGGGGTAACCTGGGGAATAGCCTCTTGTAATTGAACATTGGTTAAATTACTTCCCAGGTCACATAAAGGTTCCGAGTGATGCAGTGTTCTCTGGGGCTGCATTCCAAATGCAAAGCCAGGGCCTTCTGTAAGAGGAACCTCCTCCCTGATTGACAATGTCTTCAGGGGTGTAACCGAATTTGGCAAATAGCAGGTTGGTTGGACTATTCAACCGATAGTTCGGATGGATGGCTTTTCATTCCTAGAAGTTAATCCTCTCTTTAACAGCTTTTAGTGTTTTGTGCTATTGGGGTCCCACTTATCTTCCTCGCCAGACCAGGGTTTGATCGGGAAGCCAGTTTACTTGCTGACCACTGGCTTACTAACCACTAATTCATGGCGGTGTTACAAAGTGCTTAAGCTTGGGAATCACCTTCAACTGGAAGGGAGTCGCCCTTTCGCAACGACTACCTTGAAGCCCATTCGAAATCGTGCAGTCTTTTATTGCCTTCTCTTTTATCTAGTTTCTTTCGTAGTTAATGCCCGCCTGATACATACGGGTGTTCGATATCACCCTCGGAGCAAGCATTCGACAGATGTTTAGGCTTCATTCTTACTGCCTGTTTGGTGTTCACCTATGTAAATGTCTCCATTTTTCCTGATCAGGCAGGTGAGCGATGAAAGGCTGTTTGCTTCAGTGAGTTTTGAGTTGGAGCTTTAATCTGTCAAAACCACTTTCATTTCGACTCGCCGTCTGATTAATCGCCAGTGAAGGTTGGTGGCATCTGGGGAGCCATGCAAATACTAGCCTGAGCTCATGCACTCATTCGCAAGCATGAGGCCCAACTGACATCCATTAGCGTGATAACCTACCTGCGTCCGCTGGCGTAATGTCTATCACCCCTCCTCTGGTTTGAGGTCCCACTCACATCCACTAACGTGAGGTCCTGCTGCTGGCGTAAGGCTCTGCTCGCATCCGTTAGTCTGAGGTCCTGATCACATTGTAAGGTCCGTTTCTCATCCTTTGGTGTAAGGTGCCACTCATATCCGCTAGCATGTGGTTCAGCACTGCTCGCATCCGTTGGCGTACGGTTCATCTTCTCATCCTCTAGTGTAAAGTCTCACTCACATCCACTAGCGTGAGGCCCTGCACTCATCCACCGTCGTAATGTCCTGCTCGCATCTGTTGGCGTGAGGTTCTGCTCGGATCTGCTATCGTACAGTTCGTCTTCTCAACCTCTGGCGTGAGGTCACACACACATCCGCTAGCACTCATCCGCTGGCGTGAGGCCCTGCTCGCATCTGCTGCCGTACGGTTCGTCTTCTCATTCTCTGGTGTGAGGTCACACTCACATCCGCTGGCGTGATGTCTCTCTCATCCTCTGGCGTGAGATCCTGCTCGCATACGTTAGCGTGACGTCCTGACACTCATCCGTAGCGTAAGGTCCTTCACTCATCTCTGTTGCTCCAAGTCGCCTCTGTGAGGAACTTGTCCAGCATTCACTGCCATAACAAAATTTTTACCTTGCACGGTAGTTCAGCACTCTTTTCTTTATGGTTAACGATTTTTCTTGTTACTGAATGTTTTGAAATAAACAGAAATATGAAATGATCCGAAATACAAAGTATGAGGCGACTTAAAGCAAAAGTACGATCTTGATCCCCATTCTGGGCCCAAACATGCTTTCTTGTTTCATATTCGCCATTATCTCATGGCACTACTCTTGATTGTCTGCGACGGTGGGGCTGCTTCGGTGTATTCTTGACATTGGGATTTCGCAAATATCAGACCCAATTGGCCGCTTCCCAAACTGAAGTGTATGTTTTGGAATAGAATGAAGCGGTTGAGTAGGCCGATATAAGGGAGGGGGCATCCCAACCCCCACTTAGACATAAATAAGTAAATGAGCAGGAATGTGGTGAGTGACGCAAAATAGAGGCAGATAACACGATAAAATAATGATTTTTTTCTTTTACGTGATTGATGAGATTTTGAAGAGAGGCTTTCGGTAAGTTGATTCCAGAAGAGAAGCCACAACTCTGAGAGGACATTACCGTTCTATCCACGTGTATTACGGCGAATATCTACGCAAGCACATAGCCCACACATTTACCTGTACGCACGCATCTGTATATGTATGTATGTATGTATCTATCTATCTATCTATCTATCTATCTATCTATCTATCTATATGAGCTCATATCTATTATATTCTGGGGATTATCTATTTTAATTTTAGTCTATATATATATATATATATATATATATATATATATATATATATATATATATATATATATAACTAACAACAGCATGGCCCTGGCGTTGCCTGTGCTTGATTCAAAAATCGTACGACTCATACAGCAATCGCTATCACTTGACTTAAAATATTTTTTGCCATTCCTTGCCTTTTAAAGAAGTGCCCTTTGCCATGCTGATGTTGCTATATATGCCTTACTTCTTGCCTATCTCACACTGCTAATTTTTTTCTAAGCTCTATACTAAACGTTAAATCTGTTATGAAAAAGAACTAAACAAAATGAACACAAAACGATCAGCTTTAAAAAAGACTCGTAACTGGAAAAACCGAATGAAAAAAAGAATGTTAACAACAAATACTTTTTCACATCCAAACCAGTTCTGCTGAATTAGAATCAACGTTGAGTTTAAGCAAAAAAAATGAGCCAATTGGAGTAAAGTGCCATGCAGATTTAAATTTTTTCCCACTTGTAACGAATGCAGCTATCGATTTTTTTTGCATGCTAGAATGCTAGTTAACATTCGTGTCAGTCAGCTGTTGGCTCTCACGCTTTATATAAGTACATAATGGCCGCAAACTATTTTATGAAAACTGCCGTAGAACTACATGAAAAAAAAATCGATTGTTTTTCCACTATCGATGTGAGTTGGGAAATGCAAAGTCAGTCTTGCCCTCCCCGCTAACTTAGAAAATGTGCATGTCGATTTTGGTGCAAATCCGTCGAAAATTGCGGCCGTGCATTCGTTACACACATGCAAAAAAATATATATATATATATATATATATATATATATATATATATATATATAGATAGATAGATAGATAAAGTATATATATCTATCTATGCTCATATCTCTCTTTCATAATTAAAATTTCTTCTTTTCTAAATTTTTCTGTATTTCTGTACATATATATATATATATATATATGTAGACACAGTGGAGGGAAACAAATATTCGTACAAATTTTTAATTTATTGTATTTCCAACTAATGAATAAATATATTTTTCATATAATAAACTGTACACAGATGCATAATAACTAAATATACATAGACAACAGTAAAAAAAATTATTTAATAGAAATAAATCCCATTTATCCATTTTAATGGCTGAAAAAAGTATTCGTACAATACATAATCTTCATTTAATACATTGTAGAATAGCCATTATTCACTTATACAGCAACCAATCTTTTCTGGCAGTTCTCAATTAACGATTTGCGAATTTTAGTTGGTATTTTGTTCCATTCTTCTTCGCATACTGTCTTCAAATCCAGAATGTTTGTTGGAGCTCTCGATTTGGATTTGAATTTTCAAATAACGCCACAAATTATCGATTAGGTTTAAATCTGGGGACCGCCTTGGCCATTTCAGGATATTTGCATTATTTTCAGGATACCATTTCCTTATAGATTTTGCAGTGTGCTTAGGATCATTATCTTGATCCAAACAGGTGGAAGTTCAAAATTTTCAACCGAAATCATTAAATTTGCTCCCAAAATATTTTAATATGCTGCGGCATTCATTCTACCATCTATTACTGTTATGTAAAAGTAATTTTGCAGAAAAATATCCCCAAACCATGATGTTGCCACCATCAAATTTCACTGTTGAACTGTGTTCTTTTGATTGAAGAAAAAAAGTATCTTTCCTCCATACATGATTTCTAGAATTATGTCCAAACAACTTAATTTTTGGTTTCGTCTGCTCATAATGTCTTTTTCCCAATACGATTTTTTTTATTCTTATGTTCACGAACGAATTTCAACCTGGCATCTCCGTGTCTTTTCAATAGCAGTGGAGTTTTCCTGGGTAGAATGACTTTAGATTGTTCCTATGAATTTCATTGCTTATTGTAAGTTTAGTGACACAGATTCCTGATGAAAGCAAATCATGCAACTCTTGACAACAACCATTGATTTTGATTTGACCACATTAATTTATTTTTATCTTCCGTGGAGCACCCGTTCTTCTTTGGTTTTCAACAGTTTTGAGGGTTTTTTTTATACTTTGCCATGAATGAACCAGTGTTAGAAAATGGAATATTCAGGCTGTCTGAGAATTTCTTGTAACTTTTACCTTCTTTCCACAGCTTAACAATCATTTCTTTTTGAAAATTTGTCAGTTCTTTACTTCTTGCCATGATGGTAACCTTTTTGCACGAATATCAATTACAGAATGTTCTGTTTGTATTTTTAGGCTAAAATAACTACAGATAACATTATTGGAACATTCTAGAATATTTCACTTGAATAAAGCAATTTAAAGTTTTAAAATCTGAAATTTGCATTGTACGAATACTTTTTTACCCATTAAAATGGATAAATCGGATTTATTTCAATTAAATCAAATTTTTGTTTGCTTTCTACAAATATTTAGTTATTATGCATCCGTGTACAGTTAATCATATAAAAAGTATATTCATTCTATAGTAGGAAATACAATAAATTAAAAATGTGTATGTGTACAAATATTTGTCAACCCCCACTGTATATATATATATATATATATATATATATATATATATATAGATAGATAGATAGATAGATAGATAGATATATGATGGTTAGTGTAATAGTGTATATATCAAAATGTTTTATGTTTCTTTCGAGCGAGCTAACTAGATTTATTTATTTTTAATTGTAATTACTTGAAATTATTTTTTGATTGTCACAAAAAGAGAATTTAGAAAAATGAAAAGGCTAACAAAAACGAGAAAAATGGATTGACTAGCAACCTTTTTATATTTCAAAATGCTGTTGTTTGAAAATTTTCTTTAGAAATTTGAGATTAACTAGAATATTACACATGACATGAAAGGGACTCAAATACCAACATTAATAAAAATAATTGATATTGTTTCATTAGTCGAGAGCTAATGGTTCAACAATAAGAGGAAAGTAATTCCCATCAGGACTAAAAAAAGCACAAACAATCGCTTATTATTTGATGAGACACATTACATATATATATATATATATATATATATATATATATATATAAAAATATATATATATATATATATATATATTTATTTTCACCCTGGAGTAAATTTTTCCTTCAAATTGCTACTAGTACGCAAGGGGTTTTTTTGTCTGATTGAAAGTAAGAGAAAAGTCGGGGTTGAGGAAATGATAAAGAGGGGGACGGGGAACAAGATCAAGGTTGCCATTGAAATGTACATCTATTATCACGTTTAAATTTTTTGAAGATTATTACATAATCAGATAGTGGGTAAGAGGAAAAGAGTTCTATTGTCTGAAAATAGACTTTTTAAGAAAATTTTGTTCTATATAATTGTTTCAAATAGTAAAATTTTTATTTTTTTTTAAAACAACCTCTAAATTTGAACGCTTAAATTCAAATAGTTTAGACACTAGTGAAAATAGTTTTCAAGCATATGCCTTGAAAATATTTTGCAGAAAAGACAGACTGAATGTACATGACGTTGTTAAGAAAGCGACTGAGTCGAAATGCCAGGTCAGGACATATAATATTGTCCTTTCCGTCTTTTGTTTATTGTAAGAACGCCGATTTGAACATATTACCATCACTATATATGGCAACAGTATTCATTGTTTTAGAAAGAATTCAAGATTTCTAAATTTAAAAAATGGACTAATGTCGAGAAAAAAACAATATACACAGAGAACCAACTTTCCTTGCCTATTTATGTAACTATTGATTCAATGTTAGTTTAAAATTGATTATTTTGTCAGTGGAAAACGTAAAGACCAAAAAGGTACAGAGTGGTACTTTTAAGTAAATTATTATTTTCATTAATTTTTGGCATGAGGCAGGGAGGTTTCTCTATATGGGTAAATGAATTCAAGAT